GGTTTTCGCGGTTGCTGATGACGAATCTGAACTTAGAATTTAAAAATTCAACCAATATGGCGGATGGGAATGCCTTTTCTGCTTAAGCTTATTTGATTCTTGATATATAATAAACAGAGAAATAGTTATTAATTTTGACTGTTAATAACTTTTTAACGAACAGCGAACGGTGGATAAAATTTGTTTAAGCTCACTTTGGATTATGACCTTGACAATATATCCCAAAGTTAAAGTTATCGAAGCTTGGTCCCCTTTTGTCAAGATTATAATTTAATTAAAATTAATAAATAATAATAAAATTTATAATAATAATAAATAATATACACCTAATAATACACACAATATCAATATATTATATACATACATATACATATGTAGATTATAATATCTACTCTAATATAAATATTATATCATTTTTCCTTCTCAAGTCACCCCTGGATTATACTTACGTAATACGTAATTTTTCTCGACTCAAGAATTAGCTGATACAAATTTGAAGGTTTATTAATACGTATTACGAGATCTTGTTTCAAAATTCGACTATTGAATCGTGAAAAAAAGTATTCAAGTTATATTTCGAGACAAACTTCATTTGAGTTCTTCACTTGAATCGTAATTACAAATGTGAAATAAATCAACTCTCAAAATTCGTCTATTGAACTGTTCCATGACTCAAGATTAGTTTCAGCTGAGTTTCTTAGCAGAAACACGACTATAAATACGGGCATAAGTTTATACAATTAATTAAGATAAATAGTATAGAAACTTTATATACATTTTTACATATGATTGGGTGTTTCCTATTTAGACTGTGTTTGCTTTGCCGCTTACAACGCTTTAAGCGTCGTTTCATCCTTGTTCATTAAATATTAAATAAGGATAATTGATGCACACAAGCGTTGTAAGTGACAAAGTGACAAAGAACGCAACCTTAATGACACAAGTCGACACAAGCTTATGGGAGCATTTATGTTGGCCGTAACCGTATGCCGTAATCTGTAAAAATTGATTAATCACAATCAAGTATTCTCTCATTCGATGAAGGTAAGAAGGGAATACTCGAAGGTGATTGGTCAATTTTTATAGATTACGGCATATGGCATATGGTTACGGCTAGAGACCCTCTAATAGAGACCGGACGATCTTGTCAGAGTTTTCATTGGTTGAGTAACAATATGGCGGAACCAATGCTTTCATATCCCTACTATTAGCGCGCGGTAAGATTTGGAAAGGAAACAGACATCATTTACTTTTTAAATGAAATAATTATTAAAAAGATAGAAAATACAGTTTATACATTATATATTTATTACAAAATAATGTGATTACTTATTGCTCGATTTACTCCTCCCATGTCTGATGTAACACTATGTACATAGAAGCCTATAGATTCAGCCTTTTCAATTATTTGTTCGACAATAGGTTTTAATTGTGCACCATTGAAACCATCAGGAGTGTAATAATATGCTACAATCTGCTTCCATCGATAAAATATACCGGCAATTATAAAAACTAATCTATGGGTCGCTTCTATTATTTCTCCTAAATAAAAAGATTTAAAGCAGAAGAAAGGAAAAGAATATATTAATAAGAACCATCGACATAGTAATTATAGAAATTAAAGAATCATGTAAATAAAATTACGAAATTTCATTAAATTTACCGCGACTATTAGGAATGTTAGCATTTCCAATAATTAAATTGGTTGATGCGTCATGTTGTTCACCAGGCTCATTTTGTCAAGTGCCAACATGCAATCTTTTTCTCTATCATCTACAAATTGTAATATTTTGCATCTTAAAGCCTCAAAGATGTCATCACTTATTCCTGATTCAAAATTAAATGCTTCAATGCTTCTTCGGAGTGTGCGTATTGATGGTAATAGAATATTTTGCTTTATAAGTTCTTTGTAGCCGTTTTCAGTACAAGAAAATTTTATTCGAAGCGCTTTTTGGATTGTTTCTTTAGACCATCTATATACTTTACGTTTGAAAGTATATCTTCGAAGCCATTCAATTTGATCTTCATTAAAAACTTTATTTAGTATCTTTGACGATTTTAACCAATTTTTTTCAAGGTATAATCTTTTTGAGCTCTTCAATTTTCTTATACGTTGAAGTAGATGTTTCTTCGCTTTTTCGCCTTTGCAAATGATCGTGTTGGCTTTGTTAAGCTTTGTTTCTAAATTTTTTATTTTCAATAAAGCAGATTGTAATGCTAATTGATTAGCATCTGAGTTTGGTATTGTTGCAATGATATCAGTTCGATTTTCAATATTCAATTCAGTTAATTGAGTGTCTTCCAAATTGTATTCGTTATTATTAATAACAGATTGTAAATTAATATTCATTGATTGATTATTCGAGTTAGACATCGATTTTTTAAAAATATCCATCAAAATAGTCTCATGAATGTTTGTAACGATTTGTAATTCCTTAACAACATTTTTCTCCAAATCGTGTAATGTGTCTGCATATCTTTTCAAAGAATGAGATTTTGAAACAGACGTGGAAGTCTCATTTGATGGATGTACATTAGAGATAGTCTCACTAAGCTCTTGGCAGTGATTTATCTGCATATCATAAAATAATTATTCTGTTAGAATATATTCAAAATATCTTTAAAAACAAATAAATATACATTAGGTACAATATACAATTTTCTTAGCATCTTAATTATTCAAGATACATACGTTTGAAGTTGGAAAAATTGTTGGTACAGCGTTACATTTTAATTTTTGTTTTCCATCAACTCTAGGCTTTTCCCACATATCCTTTGAAAAGTGAATCTAAAAATAACATTGTAACATTATTGTTATGGTTGAGTACTCGAGGTACTTTTGATTTTATGAATGTATAACACAACGTACTTTTTAAATACTTTGGATCCAATATATAAATATCTATCATTTCATTTAATCAATTAATACATTTAGTACTTACTTCACAAATATAAGAACGTTGAGAAGGTTGCCAATTTTTTTTGCCTATCTTTCCCAGCCATAATGTTCGCCGTTCTAAATTTGCAGGAAAACGCCTTAAGGAAAAACATTTCTTATTGCTATTGAAACAGCCAGGGACACAACAACCAGGCATTTTCTGTTATGTGTAGAATTTAAATTATTATTATAACATTAAATTGTATATTAGCTGAAGTGAATAAATTCTATTCTATTCTTGGTAAATGTTGAAGAAGACCCCCTCCATCTCAAATTTTGATAAAAATATACTCAATCGATGCGTTTCTGGTATCGAAAAAAGTGTCGCTCTGCCTTACGATACGAGATATTAAGCATTAAAGTTAACAGCTATTTAGGTTAGGAAATCTGTTACAGCCACAAAATCCTCTGCTTTAGAAACAAATTTACTACTTTGAAAACAAATTCACTACTTCTTATCTGAGGTGGAGGGGGTCTTCTTAACATTTACCCTATTCTTCATTAAATAAATATTTGAAAAAAGGTTAGAATACCATTTTATAGTGAACTACATATTTGCCTTTAATTTCTGAACTTTATTTCCATAAATTGAAAGCATAATATATATTTTACCTCTTTATATCAGCTTCAAATAATATTCTGCAAAATAAAAATTACGTTTAAATACTGCATACAGAATTTGTATACAGTATCTAAGAAAGTTCGCCTGGGAAAGTAAAATGAGCTTAATGAGTTACCATGTATATCGTCGCCATTTTGTTACAAACCAAAGATTGTCCGGTCTCTATTAGAGGGTCTCTAGTTACGGCCAATATAAACACTTCCTATGGCTGCATTTAATGCTCATAACGCTCGTGGAATCATTTCATCTTTATCGTTTATGAAATGTTAAACAAGGATAAACGATACTCGCGAGCATTGCGAGCGTGGAATGGAACGCAGCTTTAATCTTATTGAATATTAATAAAGGATAGAATGATGCTTGTGTCGATTTGTATTGACTTGTGTCATCAAACGGCAAGCATCCATTAATTATCTTAATTATGTCTGAATTTGTTTATTTAAGTGCGTATCGGTAATTATACCGATGAGAGGAGCCAGCCCCGATGACCTTGACCTTGACATATGTTGTCAAGATCATGACCCTGAGTGACCTTCAACAAGTTTTAGCCGTCGCTCGTCATTCGTTAAAAAGTTATTTACAGTTAAAGTTAGTAATTATTTCACCGCTTTATATGAAAAGTTAGATAACTCTGGGCAGCGAGAGAGATATGGAGTGAACTGATTAAGGAAATATAACTTTCCAACCCCTCCTTCGACTTTCACCCTCTCCCCCCTGCAAAGGGGCGCACGACTCTCACCTTCGACTCTCACCCCTGCTCCCCCTGCAAAGGAGCGTACGACTCCCATTTTCGACTCTCATCCCTCCTTCCCCCTGCAAAGAAGCGCACGACTCTCATCTTCGACTCTCATCCCCCTCACTCCCTGCAAAGGGGCGCGCGACTTCCACCTTCGACTCTCACCCCCCTCTTCCTCACTGCAAAGGGGCTCACGACTCTCACCTTCGACTCTTATCACCCC